AGTTTTTTTCTCTCTCCTCACTGTTGTTCTCTCTCCTTCCTCACTCCTTCTCTCTCCTCTCTTACGTTTTCTCTCAATTTACGCTTTCTCTCTTCAAATCTTCTCTCCCCCATATGATTTCTTGGTTAATTAATTACAAAAAATAAGTAAAATCTCCAAAAATTTTATCTATTAAACAAAAATCTCGATAATAGACAATTTTTCCTTCCAAAATCTGATATCTATTTTGGGTATTTAGGGTTTATTACGTTTTTATCTTTATATTTGATCCAAATGATATAAATGAATAAAATGAAACATATATTAGTAATACGTAGTATTATATAAACATAAATGAGTTAAATACCCATTACTATGATTCACACAGCCAAACTGATCATATTAATATGTTCATAGTGGAGAAATGATAAATTCATGAAATTCGTGAGGGTGCGACGAGTTTGACGAGTTTAACGGGTCTGACGAGTTTGACGGTGCGACGAGTCAAACTGGTCAAATGATTGTCTAAATTAAATTTTGAAGGTTCAACATGGTATATAGGGGCTATTATGACGTATTTAACGTGTTTTTGTTTTTCGTAAATCATGAGAGAAAATAATATATTCTACCCTAAGCCAATGTGTTACAAAAAGTGTAATAGAACTTTGGGAATTCATTTGGGAGAATATGGATAGTAAAAAAAATAAGATGGTATATTTAGAGAGTTGCGATTATTTTTTATATATGAAAGTTGTTATATGTGGTGTTTATTAACATGTTCATAGTGTGAAAATGATAAATTTGCGAAATTCGTGAGGGTGCGACGAGTTTGACGAGTTTGACGGAGCGATGAGTTTGACGGTGCGACGAGTCAAACTGGTCAAATGATGATCTAAATTAAATTTCGAAGGGTCAACACGGTATATAGGGCTATTATGACGTATTTAACGTGTTTTTATTTTTCGTAAATCATGAGAGAAAATAATATATTCTACCCTAAGCCAATGTGTTACAAAAGGTGTACTAGAACTTTGGGGTTTCATTTGGGAGAATATGGATAGTAAAAAAAAATAAGTTGGTAAATTTAGAGAGCTGCGATTATTTTTTATATATGAAAGTTGTTATATGTGGTGTTTATTAACATGTTTATAGTGTGAAAATGATAAATTTGCGAAACTCGTGAGGGTGCGACGAGTTTGACGAGTTTGATGGAGCGACGAGTTTGACGGTGCGACAAGTCAAACTGGTCAAATGATGGTCTAAATTAAATTTCGAAGGTTCAACACAGTATATAGGGGCTATTATGACGTATTTAACGTGTTTTTGTTTTTCGTAAATCATGAGAGAAAATAATATATTCTACCCTAAGCTAATGTGTTACAAAATGTGTACTAGAACTTTGGGGTTTCATTTGGGAGAACATAGATAGTAAAAAAATATGGTGGTAAATTTAGAGAGCTGCGATTATTTTTTATTTATGAAAGTTGTTATATGTGGTGTTTATTAACATGTTCATAGTGTGAAAATGATAAATTTGCGAAATTCGTGAGGGTGCGACGAGTTTGACGAGTTTGACGGAGCGACGAGTTTGACGGTGCGACGAGTCAAACTGGTCAAATGATGGTCTAAATTAAATTTCGAAGGTTCAACACGGTATATAGGGGCTATTATGACGTATTTAACGTGTTTTTGTTTTTCGTAAATCATGAGAGAAAATAATATATTCTACCCTAAGCCAATGTGTTACGAAAGGTGTACTAGAACTTTGGGGTTTCATTTGAGAGAATATGGATAGTAAAAAAAATAAGTTGGTAAATTTAGAGAGCTGCGATTATTTTTTATATATGAAAGTTGTTATATGTGGTGTTTATTAACATGTTCATAGTGTAAAAATGATAAATTTGCGAAATTCGTGAGGGTGCGACGAGTTTGACGAGTTTGACGGAGCGACGAGTTTGATGGTGCGACGAGTCAAACTGGTCAAATGATGGTCTAAATTAAATTTCGAAGGTTCAACACGGTATATAGGGACTATTATGATGTAGTTAACGTGTTTTTGTTTTTCGTAAATCATGAGAGAAAATAATATATTCCACCCTAAGCTAATGTGTTACAAAAGGTGTACTAGAACTTTGAGGTTTCATTTGGGAGAACATGGATAGTAAAAAAAATATGGTGGTAAATTTAGAGGGCTGCGATTATTTTTTATTTATGAAAATTGTCATATGTGGTGTTTATTAACATGTTCATAGTGTGAAAATGATAAATTTGCGAAATTCGTGAGGGTGCGACGAGTTTGACGAGTTTGACGCAGCGACGAGTTTGACGGTGTGACGAGTCAAACTGGTCAAATGATGGTCTAAATTAAATTTCGTTTGGAAAAATATGCATTGTAAAAAAAATAAAGTGATAAATTTATAGAGTTACGATTATTTGATACTTATGAAAGTTGTTATCTTTTGTTAATTATAATTCAAGTAAAAAAAATATCTTCTACCCTATACTAATGTATTACAAAAGATAAAATGTTTACACTTTAAAATGTGTTATTTGTAACTTAAGATAAAATATGTTAAACATGCATTGTCACTTTCAAACATGGTGTAAATAGTTTTTTTGAGAGAACATGCATTGTCAAAAGATAAATGCGTTAAAATTAGAGAGATATGATTATTTTTAATTTAAGATATTTATTATATGGGATGATTAATCAATATGTTTACAGTTTGAAAGTGATAAAATCGCAAAATTCAATATGGTACGACTAGTTTGACGGGTCTGACGGTGCGACGAGTTTGACGATGCGATGATTTATGAAAAAAAAATGTTAATCTAAATTAAGTTTTGAAAGTTCAATTTGGTGTATAAAGTTTTGACCCAATTAAATACATATGATTAAAATTATACTCGTAGAGTAAACATGATTAAGTATAATTTATTAAAAAAAGTATCACTGAGAGCTTGATAAATGTCCTTTAAATCATATACAAATAGAACTTACAAAAATAAATTAAACAATCATTGTTAGTTTTGTTTGACTAGTGTGACTAATTTGACTAATTTTATCACACTAGTCAAACTCGTCAAACTGGCCATGTCTTTCAAATGCGATCAGTGTGACTAATATGATCACTTGACTTTTTAACCAGTTTGACTAATGTGATCATGTGACCATTCACTAATATGACCATTTTGACCACTTTTATCAGATTAGTCAAATGAATCACACAATTCAAGTCGACCAATATTGCCCACTTGATTTCTTGACCAAATTGATTAGTCTGATCGTGTGACCATTTCGCTAGAATAACCAGTTGAAGGGTGTGACCACTTCACTGGTATGAGCACTTGACGAATGTGACACTTTTAACCAGATTTATCAGACTAGTCAAACTGGTCACACCATTCAAGTGCGACTAGTATGATTAGTATGACCATTTAACTTTCATATGAATCGTCTTTTGTGAAAAATATTGCTTTAACTGAAATCCTAATTTTTTTTTATCTATACAACTTGAATAATATGATCAATTTGACTTGTTTTATCTTCTTTTATTGTTTACCCAGATGCACACACATAAGATTCTAAAAAAAATATCCACCTTTCTTGGTAAATTCAAATGAGTACGCAAAAGGAGTCAGAAACAATGAAGACGAAGCTATTTTGAAGTGAAGACGGTTTTACAAGAAGAAATTGCATAAAAAATTACCAAATAAATCGTACCATTAGAGAGAAATAGAGGAAAATTTACCGAAGAAGAAGTTGCAGAAGAAAACGAAGAAGAAGATGGAGAGTTTTAAAAAAAATTTTATTTCTTCTTCCTTTTTTTTATTCACTCAGATTTTGCCTGTCTTTTTTTTAATGATAACAATGTTTTCCTTCTTTTTACTCTTTCTTCATAGAATTTTGACACGTGTTCCATTTTTTAAGGGTAACAATGTCTTTTCAATATTTTTCAGATTTTTTTAAAAACTCTAGGATTACAAGGGTATGGGTTGAAGTCTCTAGTACATTTAAAGGTATATTTGTAATATCCCCAGTTAATGTGATGTATTTAAGAAAAACGGAGATGGGGGATTTTTTTTTGGATGGTAGCGGTGTTGGTTTGACTGTTAAGACACGACAAAAGAGAGAGACGTTGTGGGTCGAATCAAACAGCCTATCGCTGGGTACGGGCGTTGCCCTCTTCCATTCATATATATATAATATATACACCACTCTATCCCCAAAACTAAAACGAGCCACAAAATTTTGGTCGAGAAAACGCACATGGTTTTAGATATTCGCACGAGAACGAGTTTAAATTCCCATATTTAGGTGTAGATTCGGACCAAATTGAACAACATTAATAATTTTTTCTATCTACGCCTCGGTTGGTGTTGTCTCTCCCTCGTCTGGCTGGCTCGATTTCCCCATCTCGTCCTCGTCCCAACCCTGACCCTATACGAATATTAGATACCTACGGATATGCGAAACTCGAATATGTGTCGATGATGGCTTCGAGAATGGATATTTCCAAATTCTCGGGTATTTGATCCGTGTCTAAACCCTACCGAAATTGATGATTAACCTCCGAAACAAAATAACAGAATTATGACAGACCTTTGCTTGGGCTTCTATTGGACTCTGTTCGTAAATCCATCACCTGTCCTTGCAAGCACAGAGTTGTCTATCAAGTATCAATTACCGCCGAATGAATCTTCTTTTCCACTGATTAGAAACTATATCAGTTCACTTGGTTATCTCCAATGCCACCAAACGGAATCAGGAGTTTCCTCCCACACGAAATGCCCTCTTATAAAACACCCCTCTTGACCCTTTTCAAGGAAAAATACTTCCTTTCTCTCTTCTCCTATCACTCTTCAGCCCAATCAACAATCCTTTTGGCTCACTCCTTGAGCCTAAAGCTATAGAAAAGCTCACCGTAGCATTTCCTCCAAAAAAAAAATAAAGCCATACCTAAACCACTAGAGCGATTCAGACTAACATAGATTTGGTTTAGATCAAGACAGTCTCAAGATACTTGAAAAGAGTTCTTAGTCATCAAGGTCATGGCTCTACCACATACAGCTTGCAAACAGACCCTTTGAGAGAAACTTTAAATGTTAGTCAATACCTTTCCCCCCATCCAATCCGATATAAATCTCATCTTGAATCTGCATCTTTTTCAACAATATTTTCAACTACAACTTTTCCATATCACTCTTGTCATTGGGATTAAATGCTATCTTCAGGTCACCACACATGTATTCAAGAATTTACAATCTCATCTCTGGCAGCACCAAAGCTCCAACCCAAGAACCAGATCTGCTCACAAGAAATATAAAGCGTCAGGGTGGTGACGGAACACAGGGTCATGTATTTAGGCAGCAAAATCTATCGTACAGCTCAAGATACCATAGCAACAAAGACCAAGAAACTATATTTTCAATTACAAGACAAATGGAGGAAAAAGGAACTAAAAGATGGGAATATACATGCCATAGAGGACATTGCCAGTGTTGTGGGTCTTGTGACACCCGCAATACTGGCAAAATCCAACCCTAAGTCTAAGATTTGATAAGATTTTGTTAACTTCTTACAGATTCAGCAAGTTCTGCATATTTCATTAAAATGTTACGTTTTTCCAGTCGCTTTCTAGCAGTTTTCGGTCAGATCTCAACCAGAAATCTACTCTTATATATCTTCATATCATCACAAAGAGTCTGCAACTGCAAGTGCTGTTCAAACTTTAAAGGAACATTAACTAAATCGTCGAACATTATATTTCACCATACTAATGTGATAGACATCAATTTAGAATACTGGAAGGCCTTTACATGGTCTTCCACATGCATGCCCATAAAAAGACACCAATGTGGACAATTTTGCAAGCCCAAAGAAAAAAGAACACAGCATTCATGAGCAAGAACTCAATTCAGCCATTAAGCACCCACAAGAAAAACTAGGTTTTTGCTCAAACACATTGGAAATGAAGAGACAACAGAAAAATACTCTCTGAAGGATAGGGATTAGGGAGAAGTCTCAGTTGGAGAAGCGAACTACTGAATGGATACACCAACGAACTATATTTTCAATCACACAGATGAATACACTTTTCTGACTTGGCGAGCACAGGAAGGGATTCATCAAATTATCCAAGTCATCCAAACCATTGATCGCTCAGAACAATGCTCGTACTTGCAACACCAGATCCGCAGTAACAGCCGATCAATTAGCGAATCGCGTAAAGAAAACTCATCGTTCCGAACACGAACCTGATGGACTAATCCTCAGTGAGACTTTCGTCTCTGAGGCTGACGATCAGTGGCCAATCTGTAAATCCAGTAAACCTGCGAATCAGAAAACAAGAGATCAAATGATCCATATTGCGAAAACAAAACGAAGACGAACAAAGATCATTATGAACACGATGAGATCACGTAAAGTACCATAGCGATGACATGAGCTGCGGCGAGAAGAACCACCAAAGCCGGTACCAGATCTAGAAACCACGGCCGCGATTGCTGTTCCTTCGTCATTGTTGAAGAAATTGAGAAACCGCTTCTCACTCTAGACGGGTTGGAAGGATCTGGGCGGGTCGAATCTAAACCGTAATTGCTCCTCCGGTGACGAGAAGCAACGAACAGTGACAGAAACTCGTCAAGTCAACTGTTGAGCAAAACTCCTCCCGAGAGAAAACAACCTCTTGTTTGGAAATAGGATTTAACTTATCCCTTTTCAAGTTAAGTTAAAACAATCGCCCGACCCGGCCCGGACCGACCCGACACTGTTGCCTCGGCGTATGACACGTGACAAAAACGTGGCAACTTCTTCTCGCACCTTCGGATTCGGATGCTCAGACCTCCGAAAACAGGTCTCGGTGGCGCATTTTAGCAAACAGTTGCTGCGCAGAAGTTTTCACTGTCGAACGGCCGGGCTATGGGATTCTCGTACACTGTTCGATCGATGGAATTGTCGTGCTCGTCTTCTTAGCCGATGAGGAATGTCTTTGCAGCCCTCCGCCATCACCGTCAGGTCTCGCTGCTCCAGAGAAGTACGATTTTCTCTGTGATCTCGCATTTGATTATCGACGGCTATTCCGTTTGTATTTTTCGGGAAACTGAAAGAAGCGCGTGTGAATAGTTTCCGGGTTGAGTTTCTGGGTTTTCGATTCGATGACATACAAGCGCGGAAACGCGATTATCATACAATGATTCTCAAGAGATTTTAGCGGGAGCAAGGGATGTTATTTTATGAATTTTTGGAAACATGAAATTCCGTGAAATTGCAGTGTATTCGGAGGGTTAAATGCATAATCCGGCATTGGGTCTGTAACCTTTGCTTTTATACCTCCGTCGTTGCCCAATGCTCAGCCTCAATGAAGTCATAGTTGTAATCCTTGCTAAGATCAACTCATTGTCGTTGGTTGATAGACAAAGCGTGTGTTCATTTTGTTGCAGACGGAATTCATTTCGTTTGATTTGTTTTGGAAAATGATTTTTATATTGATGAAAGTTGTTGCAGCTTCACGGAATGGAAATGCTTGTAAATCCATCTTGTGGGACTATATGCTGTTGCAACGAAAGGGTTTCGAGCTCTCAGGAAAGATTGATTCTTGGTTTTCGCCGTTTTCCTTGCAACACAGAGGGTAAATTCACCGACAACTTAGGTAATTTGTGAGTACAACTTACCTAGGATTCTCAAGATGCTTTACCGGGCCTTTGATTTCAGGTATTCTACTGGATTCACCAGCGTTCATGGTGGAAGGCCTACGGCAGATTATGCGAAGTTGCGGAGAGAGTCTCTTGAAAGTGAATTTGGTCAAGCTCTTGGAACATATAAATCAAAAAGCTTTTCTGCAGTCTATCGTTTTGGCCCGTTTCTGGCATTATATAGAGCTGCAATCATTTCGTTCCATGTGGTGAAGCTAACCTTTTGGCAGTTGTTTGTTCGGGACACGAGGAAACGAGCTGGCAAGGTCTGCTTGCATTTTCAACAGACCCAGAACCTTTGATGCTCTGATGCTTGCTTGATTAGTTAAATTGAGAAGTCCTTTTTGGAATCAATATTTAACTTGGGGCATTTGTCGTTGAACTTTGGATGCAGTTCCGTGAAACCCTCATCAGCCTGGGGCCGTTCTACATTAAGGCACGTCAATTGTTTCTCTGCAATTTTAGGATTCCTCCTACTACACTTCAGTCTTTTAATGAATCCTCGTGCAGAACTCACCATTAACTTGTTGTTGGGCTTCAGCTTGGACAGGCTCTGAGCACGAGACCTGATATATTGCCCTCTGTTTATTGCCAGGAGCTTGCAAAGTTACAGGTCTGTATTTTTTCCTTTTGTTAAGAATACCTATACTGTTGTATGCTTAATATTTTAACCTGACAATTACATTTTCTTGATGATCCTAGGATCAAATTCCTCCATTTCCAACTCATGTTGCTATGCGATCCATTGAAGAACAGCTGGGTGCTCCTGTTTCAAAACTTTTTGCTGATATCAGTCCTAAGCCTATTGCAGCTGCATCTTTAGGCCAGGTATACAAAGGTTAGAGAACGTTTTCCTGTGGTTTGCTTTTGTATCCTTTTTTGTTTCTATTCAAGTGCTTCCTATCATCTCTTTCTGGGTTCTCAGAGGAGATTCCTAGCAGCTAAACATTTCCATGTGTTTCTTCAAACATTGCAGCTCATCTGCATTCTGGACAGTTGGTAGCGGTTAAGGTTCAGAGGCCTGGAATGTCACTTTCACTAACACGTGATGCCCTCTTATTCCATATGATCGGGGGACAATTGAAGCGATTTGCAAAGGCTCGGAAGGATCTGTTGGTAGCAGTAAACGAGATGGTGATTCATTTTACCTGAAATGTTCTTCTACCTTCGTTTTGTTTACAGAGAGTGTGCAGGCTTTTGAACCTATTCATGTCCCTCTTGGACGAACAGGTCAGACATATGTTTGATGAAATAGATTACATCCTAGAGGCCAAAAACGCAGAAAGATTTTCTACTCTTTACTGTTGTGACTCACGTAAGTTTACTAGTTCCAGTTGTGTGGCACTCAATCATAATATGATTCTAATTCCGTGACATATCCTTCCTTATGTTATGGAGTTCATACTTAACTGGCAGGGAGTGACAAGACCCACCATCTGACTGGAGCTAGGAATACGTTTAGCACTGAGAAAACAGATAACATTAAAGTCCCTAAGATTTATTGGGATTTCACACGCAGAGCTGTGCTAACAATGGAGTGGATCGATGGCATAAAACTTACGGATGAAATAAATCTGAAAAGGGCCTATCTTGACAGACGGGAATTGATCGACCAGGTAATTAGCAAATTGATGAGTACCTTACTTATACTAGGTTGATATCCTCAGAAAAGTACATTGATAAAACTGAATAGCGATGCGGAAAGTTCTGCCCAGATTCCTATAACAAACCCTTGCATTTTAAATCAAGTTCTTCTGCTGTTTGTTCTCGGTATTACATTCACCGATGAGATCCACATATTTTTATACTTTACAGGGTTTGTATTGTTCACTAAGGCAACTTCTTGAGGTTGGATTCTTTCATGCTGATCCACACCCTGGGAACCTTGTTGCTACTGACAAAGGGTCTCTTGTTTATTTTGACTTCGGAATGATGGGAGATATTCCACGCCATTATCGTGTGGGACTTATTCAAATTGTAAGCTCTACTTATATCCTTTCTTCTCTTCTCCTTGTATTACGCCTGTAGTCATTCTGGCTTTTATCCTTGTTTCTTCCATTTAAAATATAAATTGCACAATTACATCATATACTCAAGGAGCCGTGTCTTGTTGCATATTGTCATATAAATTGCAAAACTACCTCACTACTTTCTCTTTTTTAATAAGTCCTTGATGTGTTTACAGCTGGTGCACTTTGTTAACCGTGACTCACTGAGTTTGGCGAACGATTTCCTTTCTTTGGGATTTATACCCGAAGGGGTCGATATTCAAGCAGTTTCAAATGCTTTGCGTGCTTCATTTGGTTCTAGTAACAGACAATCACAAGATTTCCAGGTATGCCCAATTCGTCACTCTGAAATGAGAGTAGTAAACATTATTCGTGCAATATATTGTATCATGTGGAAAGATTTATAAGAAATTCACAATCTATCACTCCTGCTGACTTTCTGGCTTATGAGCTGAAATTTATTTGCGAAATATGTGGATCCCTGAAAAACAATGGTATTGAATTCACCAGCGTTTATGGTTTCTTTTTATTTTCTAAATAATTACAGACTAAAATGACTTCTTTGTACTTATGCTCTAAGAATCCTGAAACGTGGAAACATGTGATAAGGCAAACAGTAGTAATCAATAATTGTAGAGTCCTTAGTTAATTGATTTCTATTAGAATGATGAATCTCACCTCGGGAGGAAGGGACGGTTAATACAATACAATGGTTGTGACCGAACTCTGTCTAATGGTCATTACTTTATCTTGTCCTATCACTCGATGTCTTTGCTTTCCATAAGCCAGGGTGTGATGGAGCAATTATATGATGTTATGTACGAGTTCAACTTCTCTCTGCCCCCCGATTATGCGTTGGTCATAAGAGCTCTCGGCTCGTTGGAAGGCACGGCAAAGGTTCTCGATCCCGACTTTAAGGTGATCGAGAGTGCTTACCCCTTCGTTGTCGGGAGGCTCTTGGCTGACCCTAGCCCTGATATGAGGAAAATACTGAGGGAGCTCCTCATCTGTAACGATGGGTCGATAAGGTGGAACCGGCTTGAACGCCTGGTAAGTGCTCCTTCTACACGCAAGAGCATCTTTTAGATAAATTTTCTTATGAATTACATATAACTAAAACTGCATTTCATTAAAGAAAAGATTGAACTTATATATATACACACAATCACGTGTAATCATCACTTGCCAACGACAATGTACATAAAAGATTCACGTGTACATAAAAGATCGAACTTTTATGCATGAATATCAAGGGCTTCTACTCTCTTTCAGGTAGCGGCAATATCTGAACAGGCGTCTAAGCCGTCTGAAGAGCCAGCAGCCGACAAAGCTAGAGCTCATAAGAAAACCTCGGATCTGAAATCTTTCGACATGGGTTCTGTTGTTTCCGCCACTGAAGATCTGTTACTGTTCATACTGTCTGAGAAAGGTCAAAGAGTTCGAGTCTTCCTTCTTCAGGACATAATCAGGGTGGCTGATATCTTCCTGGAAGACGAGGTGCTTGGTCGGATCTTGAACCCGACGTTCGACCCCATGAACATGCAAGAACTTAAGGTATCTTTTTGTGACTGATAACTAACGACGGTCCCAAGTCGTGTATCCTAAAGATTTGGGTGCATAATTTAATTTGATATCCGTACTTGTAACCCGAGAATTTCGGGTATGTGCGGATATCCAAATCCAAAAATTATTTAAAGAACAAATTCTTAAAAAGGTGCACAATACAAGTTATCATGGTTGGTTGTCTGAAAAATTCATGGTATCTGAATCCGTCCCCCAAAGCAAAAAGATAAATATCAGAATTTATAATGGTACATATATGTCATCACCAAATATACACGGCTATCTATCCGTGACCGATGTTTAAATATCTGTACCCATACCCATACCCATTAGACGGATGGTAAAAAACATACCCGTGAAAAGTTGGTACCCGAAAATCGGGTATCTGAGGTGCAGGTGCTTCCGGTTCCTACACAACACATGTACTGTCTTGTTTTAGATCGATCTGACGATTTTTTCCTCGTCATTTTTTTGAATGGCTGGATTTAGGGTTTTGGGGAGGAAGCGGCAATGGGAAGAGTGGTGAATGGGTTCAGATACTTGAGAGAGGCAGTGAAGCTTGCGCCTGGGATGTGGACAGCCATGCTTCTTCGTGTTTGTGTGAAGCCTCAGTTTCATAGTTATGTTTCCGACATTGTTTCCGCTTTGTTCTCTCACTTCAGCCACAAGTTGCCCCAGACTTGTTGGATCTCTCTCTCCAAATTGCTTCGCGCCAAATTCAAGCAATGAAAATAATTTAATGCTTTCGTCAACTTATGTTCTCTTGAACAAATTTTGACAAACATGGGTTTTTTTTGGGGGGGGGGGTTAGGAATGAAGTTGTAGAAAAATCTTTGATTGCAAGTAATTGTGGAAATTACAGAAAAAAATTCATATATATATATATATATATATATATATATATATATACATGCACACACAGAAAGGACAAAATTACAGAAAACAAAACAGTATGAACACCAGAACATTCGTTAACGTTATTACTACATCCAACACCAAAACAAAAGTGTCGTAATAGCTAGCCCCTTTGTCTTTAGAACGTCGGGACAACGCTGAAACCGCAGTAGATACCGCCGCTGCTTTCAGCGTCTGTCTCGACCTTGGCCCGCTTGGCGAACCTCCCCTTAATCCGAGGTCTCATCTCGGCGTACGCTTTCCTCGAGGCGTACCTTATCGTCTTCTCGAACCTTCGGTTCTTCCTCTTCTCTCTGTACCTCAGAACCCTAGCTTCTCTCTCGGCCGGAGACAGCGGTACCGCCTGCTGGCTTCCCGAACCGCTGTCGTTGTTCCCTGCTCCGCCGCTCAACGTGTTTGCAGCATTTGCAATCGCACAGCCGTCTGGTACCACTCCCACTTCCAAGGATGATGAGGACACCTGAAAAGTTATAACATCCCTTTGTTACTTAAACTTATTTAATCTCGTTTATTCAATTTAAGGAAAAATTTATGGGGATTCAAACTACATGTTTCTTGTGATATTTAGTCATAAATTAATAATGTACTGACAACAAAAAGTGGGTGCCCGCTAGATCTGAACTTGGATTAAACAATGGTTTCCCTTTGTCAGTTTCAGACACGATCATTAAAATCTATCAGTTTTTCCAGAAGGATCGAGAAAAAAGAAAGCCAGATTCTTGGAGGGAGAAATAAAAATCTTCTTGTCCTTTCCCATGGATTTTCTCGGCAACCAAACAGTAACGACCCAGATAGAAAAAGGCAACGTCCAAGAAAAAGCGTAGCTTTTGATCTATATAATAATATTTCCCTTAACGATAGATCCAAAAGTTCATTTTTTATAAGAAAATCAGCAGTTTCATTAGAGATTTTTAGTTAAAAAATCAACACTTTCTCGGATTTCCACTCGGATTTTCTCGGAAAACCAACCAGATCGAAGAAAACAAAAAAAAAAAACTTACGCTTTGGGTGATACAGCTGTAGCCGTAACCATAAGCTTTGGAGCTGCCGCCGGAGAAATCCAACTCGTAGCAGTTCTCGCTCACCGTCGCGACCTGAACTCCGCCGTTCTCCACCGGCACGACGCCGTCGGTGCCAGAGCTATTCTGCTCCTCCGCCTCCATCTTCGGATCCACCGACCCGTAATCCAGATCCAGATACGGATCCGAATCCGAGAAAAGGTACTGACCGGTATCCTCCGCCGCCGCCGTCTTCGGGTTCGGCAGAAGCCACGACGCGGCCTCCTCCTCTTCCTCGCGGCCGCCGGCGTCGCCGTCGAGGTCGGAGAAGTAGCAGTCGTCGAGGAAGTTTACAACGGCGGCGGAGGGCTTGCCGGAGCAGCCTCCGACGACGACATCGAAAAAGGGCGTGACGGGAACGCGCTCGTGGCGGCGAGCGAGTGGGTTGGCGGAGTGGATGTCGCGGTCGCACGTGACGCAGAGAGCGGCCGCGTCGGCCTTGCACGTGACGTAGGAGGGAGCTTGCTCGCACACCTCACAGACCCAAACGCGCGCGTGACGCGACGCGAGCTTGTTCGCCGCGTGGACCTTCGAGTCGCAGTTCACACACAGAAACGCCGCGTCTTGTCGGCAGTATATCGCCGCCGTCGCCGATTTGCATGAGTCGCAGAGTTTCGACGCCATGACCCTCTCTCTCTCTCTCCGTGGCTTGTGAATGGTTTGGTGGTGAATGGTGGTGATGGTGCTATGGCTTCGCATGAGTCGTGTCGAGTAGTCTGTCTATCCAGTGGGGCCAGGAGGATCCAGTAACCTCCAATGATATGTCGACAAGTGGTCAAAGCTTAGCCATATTTATTAACTTATTAAATGGCAAAAAAAAAAAGAGTTTCGCAGTATAAATCCGATGAGAATGAGAGGATAGGTTTTGTTCTTTTTTCTTTGTGTAATAATGGTCTTCGGTATTTTTTTTGAAAATTTTTAAAATGGGATAATATCAAATAATCATAATATAATAAAATTGTCATTTTCAGGAAAAAAAAAATAGACAAACAAAAGTCATCTGTGAAGAAGCATGGGCGTCGTATGCTTTGGACCACCGCATCACGTGACGAATATAATGGACGGTGGGTGGGTCCCAGCTAAACTAATGGGCCCTTTAGTGGGCCACCATGCATCAATTGGTCTACGTTCTGCGGCCTATTAAAAGTAGGCCCAATATTATAGAATGTGATGTTTCGTCGGATTGTGTATTAAAAAAAAGGGGTAAAACCCTAAAAAACCTCCAACTTGCAAAAATATATACAAATAAACCTTCAATTTGAAAAGCTGTCATTCAATCCCCGAACTTGTAACTTATTACTGAATAAAACCTCGAACTTGCAAATTATTTCTCTAATAAACTTTTGACCGGTTTGACCACAATTTCAAACGATCAGAAATCTATGTATTGACGGATTGCTGATGTCATTTTTTAAATTAAAATTGATAATGTGTATAAGGTGACATTAGCAATCCGTTAATACGTGGATTTCCGATCGCCTGAAATTGTGGTCAAACTGGTCAAAGGTTTATTAGAACAATAATTTGCAAGTTCGAGGTTTTATTCAGTGACAAGTTACAAGTTCGGAGATTGAATGATAGTTTTTCAAGTTGAAGGTTTATTTGTATATATTTTTATAAGTTGGAGGTTTTTTAGGGGTTTTACCCTAAAAAAAAGTGTCGTGTAATACTTGACATATTTTTTTCCGTAAAATTTTAAATTTTTTCGTCTACAACAAAAAAAATTAATTAGGAGACAATAAAAAAGTGATCTATTGGATTAATATTAATAACATGATGATTGTCTAATATTTAATGAACAATAAAATATCGTAATTTAATCAAATTCGATATAAAAACTAAATAATTATTATTATTATTATTTTAAAACTAAAGAAATCGAATGAATAAAAAAACACTCAACTTTCAAATTTTGACAAAAAATAAATTTTTTTATTTTATCACATAAATATTAAACTTTTTAAATTTGACAAAACAAAAACTTAATTCTTCTACCATTGTCAAAATAAACAAAATAACTGATGTATCATAAGTAAATACGGACATGTCAGATTATTTTACTTAATTTTTTTTTTACAATCGAAGAAAGTTTATGTATTTTTTTATCACTAAAAAGTTCAGTATTTTTTTATAATCGTAGAAAGCTCATATATTTTTTTGGATAACTTAAAAAATTCTGTGTTTTTTAGACTCATTTAAAAAATTTAATATTTATTTGACAAAATATAAAATTAAATATTTTTTCTGCGAAAGTTCAGTATTTTTTTGGTATTTTTTTATAAAAAATAATCAAAAAGTTGAAAATTCTTTTAAAAATTAAATAAATTTATTAATAAAAGCGAAACCGGATCGAATCTAAATTGAAATAGAACTGTACAAGATTCAATATAATAATTGAAATCCGAAATATCCGGTCTGGATCCGGTTTAAGACCCGGGTCGAGAGACATGGTCTACGTGGCCTCTCTCTTTTCGCCACGTGGATTCAGTCTCCAGCACCAGCACCATTTTTTGACAAGTTTGCTTTGCTCTGTGTTTTTAATCGCATTCGTTCACCAGACCTGGAAATCTTTCTGCAGCCTCAGCGCAAGGTTCGCTCGTCGGTACGTGGAATCGCTTTCGTCGTTTGGAGATACCTCGTGTTCTGCATCGGAAATGATGACTACCATATCGCAGTTTGATCATTACGGATCGTCTCTTCCCCAGATGCGGTGAGTTGTCTCTTCCCATTCCTGTCCGAAGTTGTAATCGCTCCTATTCCATTGTTTTCTAGGCGTTTGTTTGCTTGATATTTGTAGATTTTTGGATGATTATTGGAATTGGGAAGTGTATGTGTTTACATTTGGGAGTAGGATGGTGCAGAAACGTGAATTGTTTGGGATTTCCCGCTGCTGGTTCTGACTTTTGTGATTTAGTGTTGTCAAGATTTTCTGCAATTTTTTGGATTAGTCGTTCACTGGGAGCCTGGGAGAAGATCCTTTGTCGTTAGACTGACTGTGGGATATTCGCTTATCCTTCGTTTGTATTATGCTGAATCAGCGACTGTAGATGTGCCGCCACTGCCAATGGGGAAGGTAAGAGTTTTTGGGGCTTTTGCTATAACTGACATAGTTATTGCCAATACCCGATATTGTCATTGTACTTCTGAACATGTACTTACTCGTCGTTTTCTTCAGTTGCTTGTGCTGGGTGGAAATGGTTTTGTTGGATCACATGTGTGCATAGAAGCTTTAGATCGGGGCATATTTGTTTCCAGCCTTAGCAGGTACTATCAATGGAGGGAATTAATCTCTTGGAGATTGAGTTAAATGTTGCCTACAATACACCACCACACCTTTCCTTGGACCACCGCTCAGCGGGAATGCTTTATGCACTAGACTGCCCGTTATAAATGTTTATCTGCGAGTTTGGTTTTGACAGTTTCCTCAGGTTTTAGGTCTGGTAGGTAATCTCTACATGAGTCATGGGCTACGAGTAACATGGCATCAAGGTATTGTCGTCTCCTCGATGAATTTCGTGGAAAGTATGCTTCTACATAGCTTATTGATATTGTTACTATTTTTTCAGGAAATCTTCTTTCACCTGAGCCTTGGAAAGACGCTCTTGATGGGTGACTTATGTGGTATGTGTTTCCTCAGTTTCCGGAATACTGTAGAACTTTGACAGCTACTGTAGTTTTACGTGTGAAGAAGCATTAACTTGGAAAAATTTTGCACTTCTCATCAGTTTGGAATGTGTTATTGCAGGTCTCTTGTGTTTGTGGATTTGGTTCAAACTCGTATATCTATATGATTAATGGGACTGCAAACATCAATGTGACTAGAGCTGCCTCAGAAAAAGGTGTTAGTGGTTTTGTTGGCATTAACTAGGACATGAATTCAATGAGAATTGGAATTGCCTTCTCTTAGCCTTCTAGCATCATTCCGAGATGTCTAGTATAAATAGGCCGTAATGAATCCAATTGCTGGAACAATTAAGTTTTAGTTTTAGTAGAAATCTCGAACATCATGTTTTTTGGGAGAGATATACTCTGGGAAATATCATATCTGCAACAGTTTCTCGCCATTCTAATTCGGTTTCCTATTATCATGTCTGTGTCCACTAGGTTTGAAAAAAAATTGTGTATATCTCTGCAGCTGACTTTGGATTAACGAACTACCTATTGAGAGGGCACTATGAGGGAAAGGTGTTATTGTACTTTTCACTCTCAGTCATACTCGAAGGATGATAGGTGTTCCTATTGAAAGTTGCTATCACATGGCCCTTGTTGTCAGGACAATCCATCTCAGGCTTCTGTTTTGTTTATTGCAGAGAACTGCTGAGACAGAGTTGCTCACAAGATCCCCTTATGGAGGTGAGGTTGCATTCTATATTTGATATCGGGTACTGCACTCCTCTAGATGTATATTAATCCGTACAAAATGCATTTAACATATTACTAAAGCAAAGATGATTCATGTTAGAGAAATCAGGCATTAGTTGTCGACTTTTTAGCGAAATGGATGCAGATCTGAAGGGTTGCTGTGAACCTAGAGATTGTGCAAAGGTTGCAGTGAGAGCATCCGCCACTTCCAGAGACTGTGGATGTCAACGGAATTGGCGATAGAGTCAGCAAAAATCCAGACAGGTCCCCCCTTAAGATCCCTTGTCGTTCACATTCAATAGTTTCACTTCGCTTCCCTTGAGATTGGTGGAAAATATGTGTTTGGTTCTTTTGTTCATGTAGTTAATTCACATATGGTTGGAGTACCAACATGGCGAAGGGGGACTTGTTTTTTCCCCCTACGGTATGCATTATATATATTATTGAATGATACTATACATTTGTTTTCCCTACTCGGCCTTCACATCTATACACAGAGCCGCTAAATTCTACAAACCTTACTAACTACTTGAGCCCCTAAGCCACATACTGTTCAAGACACTCTTTTAGTTTCTGAAACGTTACAGGTTTCGAGATAAAGGAGTCCATCCCGTGGGCATAACACTCTTCCGCGCTCTCCGACAACGTGTTTGCAGTCATCTGACAACATGCAACATGGATTTCTTAAGCGTTTTACTTTGTACTGATTTTCATTTTGTAGAATGAAGATACTACCCGCTATTATCGGCAGCCGCTTCGCAGAACCGAGGTGAACTTGCCCATTCTGCAAATTATCCGGAGATAGCGCGTTTGGATCTATTCCTGCTTCTTTTGCGGCCTCCCAGTTGCCATTTTCTTCGAAGGAACGGATCAGTCTCGTCGCTTTTAGACCATCCAACACCGGCATGCACACATCCTGTGAAAAAAGCCACGTTGCTAAAAGGTTAGGCTTCGGATTCTCGAGATGACAATAGGTTGTATGATATGCTAATGGGTGCCGGGAAAAAAAGGGTTAGGGTTTAAGTTTATTTGTGACTTAGAACTCACCATAAGAACCAAATCATAACTAGAGGTCTGCACTGCTCGTATGGCTTCAATCCCATTGTTGACGACTTCAATGGTATGTCCCAACTGCTTCATCATAGATGTTGTCACCATCACGTTGATTCTATTATCTTCCACGAGTAGAATCTTCGGTTTAGATGTTTCCTTCGAATCTGCCTCGGGTTTTGTCTCTTGCCTTTGAGATGAGACTGAGGGTTTGGTCTCCATGACCACGGTTCCACCTTCATTGCTAGTTTGTGTACTGCTACAAGATTCAAACTCTTTAGATTCACTCGGGCACCGCAAAGTATCTTCTTTACTTGTTTTGATTCTTCCGTTTGGAAACTGGTGAGCTGAATCCGGACAAGGACCACAACTGGTGTCTGTTCTTGGTGATGTCTCAGCACCTTCGGCCTTGTAACCGCCGTTCTGGACTGCGGCTCTCTCATTTGGTCTGTTATCGGATAAGGGGATGCCATGAGAAGGATCACTGGCAAAACCGTTAACCTTAACCGGACTACCCTGCATGATTTTATGTGGTACTAAGAAGTTCTGGTCGATGACAGGTCCGTCGGAAGAGTAAAGCGAGCCCATAAGCTGTTTAAACTGGAAAAATCCTTTGGCTGTGTCGTCGGGGATGGGCTGGTGGTCAGCCATGTCGGAGAATTCATCAGGATCATCGGAATGATCATTCGGTTGTGCGACTTTGTAAGGTAATATAAACGTGAACGTTGAGCCGACGTTCACATGGCTAGTCACAGTGAGTCGCCCACCCATCAGCTCAACCTGTAAACAAACAGAGAGGGCAGAGAAAAGATATGTTCAGAACAAGATTCATTGATTTCCATCATTCAGAAGATTCAGAGTTTGAGATTCTTACGAGCTGTTTACAAATCGCGAGACCTAAACCAGTTCCGCCGTATTTTCTCGCATGATCGGCGCTTGCCTGCATGTACTTCTTGAACAGAGTAGGTATCGCTTTTTCTGCAGAGGACACAACGTTAAAAAACATACGGCGCTTTCATCATCTGCCGACCAAACAGGACCTTTGAGGTAATTTCTCGAGCTTCATTCAGCTTGTGAGCTTACCCGGTATTCCAATTCCGGTATCATAAACGTCACAGCGTATCCAGACAGCGGTTCCAGACACATATTCTTCAGCATCCTCCGTGTTTTCATTATGACCGATCGGAGTCGGATTTCGAGGCTCTTTCCTATCTTCGCTGAAAAAACTCGGCTCCTGTATCACTTCAAGTTTGATTCCCACCTTCCCTCTGTGCGTAAACTTGATAGCGTTGCTGCGTTTTTTTTGCACAAAGTTTTGAACTTTCAGAGCCAAGATTTTAAAAGATGAAATGGGTTAAAGGATTATTATTATCAGACGCACCTGATCAAGTTGGTCAAGATCTGCCGAATTCTCAGGACATCTCCGACTACCTGTTTAGGGTTTAGGGGTTAGACCATTGAATGTAATAAGATGACAGAATCTGACAGAAACCCGAGTACATGTTCTTCGTTTTTGTGTTTACCTCTATGGGAACGTTGTCTTGGATGTGCCCTTCTAATGTCAGAGCTTTCTTCAGTGAGGCTGCCGCTGTTTGAAGCACGTGCTTCACCACCTCTCTTGGCCTAAACTGCGTTGCTTCCAGCTTCATTACACCTGAAAATTAGATAGGACAGCATATATGAAGTGTCTGAAATCAAACTGTTTTCAATATGGTGGGCAATGAAGGTGAATTTCTTAGTATCACACGATCTGCGAGTCAGATATCCGAAATTTCTTATATTCGTCCATTGACGGGTGAGTATGAGTCCTCGATGATGTGAACTCTATCCTGACTTGCTCTTTCCTCGCATCGGCACCTCATCTCGGTCTCTCGCTTTGTCCACTCGCATTTGCTCTCATCGCACCCCGTGATACCCAAAGTTCGAAATCCGATCTTTATGAAACCGAGATCAAACAATCCGACCAAAGAACCCGAGAAAGGTGAGGTCGAGGTCAGATACACGACTCATGCCCACCTCTCCAACTTTACATTGTAACTGCACTCATCGTTTCTAAAGAGAATTTAGAAGAAAGTCGGTAGGGGGATAAATTTCAGACCTGATTCGACCTTGGAGAGGTCGAGGATGTCGTTGATGAGCTGAAGCACCAAATCTCCAGAAGATATCATCACATTCAACAACTGCCTTTGCTCGTGATCCAGTTTCGTCGTAGAAAGTATCTCGGCCATGCTCACCACTCCCGACAATGGAGATCTTATCTCGTGAGACATTGTCGCTAGCATTTGTTTCGCCCTCATCGTCTCCTCTGCAAACAATCAGATAATCATAAAAAAAACGTTCAATCCGGGTTTCCACGTGAATCTGCAGAACCGAACACGAATTCTACTCGGTTCTAACCTGTAATATGGATTGTCTTGTTCAATTCAGATTCCATTGCGTTCCTCACTGCTTTATCTTCTCTAAGCTTAACCATCTTCTCTCTTTTCCTTACCTGATCAGTGACTTCCATGCCCATGTAGTTTATACCGAGTTTCTCGCCCGCTTTGTTGTAGACTGGCTCGACGTATATCAGAAACGTCTTCGACCCGAATAACTCCGTCTCGAACGTGATCTCTCTCTTCGACGGCTTTCCTTTCTCAAGAACCTCCCTCTTGAAATCTTGAGATTCTTTAACCCCCGCACCTGAGAATATCTCGACGTCCGTTTTCCCGAGAATGTCCTGACATAGTACGGAACAAGGTCACTTGAGCAACTCTCCCCGGAGGAAAGTCCAGAGCGAATATATAGATGATCGAGAATCTCGAGATTCTTAGTTACCTGCTCCCGCAAACTAGGAAACTTGTTGTAGATGAACAGGTAGCGCAAATCGTTATCCTGAAAAACAATGAATCAACAAATGTATAACACCAACTCATTATCTCGGGTTCCATACACGATACCGGTAGAGAGTTTTCGAACAAGAACACGAGCAGAAATCCGGAATAAGAACATCACCGTCGATTTTACCTGATGGCCCATGACGACAGGAGCGTTCTGAAGTATGAAATGCAAGAACCCTTCGGCTCTTTTCAGATTCTGCGTCAGCTCTTCGACCGGTGCAGAGTGACTCTCCATAGTCGTCAAGCTCTCGTTCAACTTCTCAAGCAATTTCCACTCTCTCTCTGTACTTTCCTCGAGCATCTTCTCCAAATTCAATGCTCTTTGCTTCCAGTACGCTACCGTATCATACTCCTCGTCGATGTCGATCTTCTTTCTCTCGACTACCTTATCCCGTTTCCTCTCCTCGAAACTCCGGAAAAGATCACAAGTTTCGTCCAGCACGGGAAAATTCGCGTTCCTTCCGTCGCTCTCGAACTTATGCTCCTCTATTATCTTCAGCTCTTTCGCCTCGGCCTCCTCCCTCTGCCTGCTCAGATTCTTGAGCTCTTCCCTGAGAAGCCGAACAGCGTTAGCTTGCATGTATTCCCATTGCTTGACGAGGTTCGTCAGCTGGGACGAACCCTGGTCCGTACTGTCCATGAGCTCCGATAACCGTCTCAGGTCTGCGAATGTCTGTTTCTCCTCGATCGTTACCTCTTTCAACATGTCTTGGTCCCCTGCCGGTTTTTCGACGTTGAACTGTTTGTCGGTTTCTGTTCCGACATCTTCCGGCCACATCGAGGACAGGACTTCGATCTCCATGTCCTCGATCTGCTCAGTCTCCATTTCACAGACCATGTTATCTTCGCGAAACACTGTTTCAGAACATCGACGAACTTTTCGCAAAGGACTTGACCCAGAATCTTTGATCTGTAAGATATTGTAAAGATCGTGAACTTTTTATCTGCAGCCGTGTAATGATGAAGAACTTCCGAAATTGAGGGTTTTGGGCGCGAAACTAGAAGAAACTCATCTCGACCCAAAATTCTAATCATGAATCTGCGGCCATACAATCTCGTTTTGCTATCCAGAAATCAAAATCCAGGTGTGAAAATCAATGGAACTTTACTCCACCCTGAATTTTAAAATGTTAAATCTTTAATCGTAACTCAATTTTCAAATACGCCTAGAATTCAGGGGGGAAAAGGAACGAACGAAAAGAAATGCTTTGGACAATATGGGATGAACAGTAGCACGAAACCCAGACCATGATCGCCAGAATTTACAGACAACGGAGCATCTGGGTCAGCATTTTTATGAACAGGAGATGTAATAAATCTGAAAAATGTAGCGTAAATCGAATAATCTGAAACTCGGATCGTACGTATCATTGGTTATCGCATTACAGAAAACAGAAAGCGGAGTCGAATTCGATCCAGAAATCGAAACAATGAACAAGGCTTCGTCGAAATCAAGCGAGTCAAAGCAAAGGAAGAAAGTCAAATTGATCGAATGAGGCGCGCGTTCTTCCTCAGTTTGAATTCTAAGCGAATCAATCATCGGAAAAGAAGAAAAGGGATCGGATCAGAATCTTACCTTTTCCTCTCCGGTCGCCGGGAAAACCCCACGGGGGAAGGAAGAAGGTGGAAGAGCAGCAGATCTGAAGAATACTCGTCGAGCGAAGAGTCAATAAACTTCAAATGGGCATCGGGAAGAGATTAACCAATAGAGAGGGAGAGAGAGAGAGGAGGGCATGTGAAGGAAAGGGGAAAAAACAAATGGGTTTTACGGTGAAGAGGGAAACCCGAGAAGCCATGTGCATCACCAGAGAGGTCAATAATTATAATATTCCTCTCCCTTTATCACCTAGTTCCATCCATTGTATTCTAATGGCTTCTCTCTCTCTCTCTCTCTCTCTCTCTCTGCACGTTTGTTTCGTCAAAGACCACATCCATGAAGATGGAAATGATGAAGAGATCGGCACGTTTCGATTCGTCTAACGTTTCCGCATACACATCTTCTTCTTAGCTCTGTGTTTTTATCGTCTTTCCAAAACTGTCGAGGGAGAGAGCAAAGGTGACGGAGTGCTTTATCACAAAAACATAACGTGATGGAGAGACCAGAGCGCGTGAGAGTCACGCTCCGATGCTGGGCCGCTTCAGGGTCTTTTTACAGATACGTGCACATCATTATGGGAAAGATGTGTATACGACGGCGCGTGGGGCCACGCTCCGGCATTTTGCCGATATTTTTCTTTCCTCGATGCTCGGGCCTATGGGGCAATGATGCAAATATTATCCAATATCCATTATTGTTATGGTTGTTGTTATTATTATTATTATTACAGCCTTTTTAACTTAATAATGAATTAATGATTTATTCATCGATTTCTAATTTTACAGTGGAAAAAAGCAATAATTATATATCAAAATATATTTCTATTTTATTAATCAGATTATTTAATTCAAATAATACAAAACAACTTTTTTGACCCTAAAGGAAGAAGAACCATTTTATTAGCTAGATTGGAAAAAACACGTGAAAATTTATTTCAATTTTGAAAACTATTTCCATAGATCAAATATCCCATATATATATATATATATATATATATATGTACTGGTTGAAAACGAAGTCATCATAAATTCCGTGGAACAGACAACAACCGTATAGCACGAAATTAGTTGGAAGGACATTGTCTATGTCGAAATTCGTCGTCGGTCTTAGGCACTTAAATTATTGCAAAATACTATAAATTATTAATTAATTAGCACTGAAATTATTCATAATTAATTAATAATAAATTATATATTAATTGTGAAGCGGACAGCTAATTTCCGATCTGGACGGCGGTCGGGCGTTTGTCCGGTTCCCAGTTATCCCATGTGACGGACACTGAATCGCCCACGTGTTCCACGTCATCCTAAATTTTCAACGTGGACAATTCTTATCATTACACGTGGCGCCCGATTCGGTTGTTTTATGGAAAGGTGAATATATATACGTGTGCCATCTGTATGTATATATGTATATATACAGTAGTATATACACGCAAAGTCAACCCCCCAAAATGTACGGAGAATTTATCCGACTACGACTGTTCATAAATAAATATATACTGAAATATTTGTTCACTGATGGAAAAAAACATATATAGAAGTGTGCGAATTCATCTCGCCAAAATGTGAATCTAGACAGAGATTTCGATGTTTTGTTTAAGAGTATGGTTTTTCGTCAAATATATATTATAACGTTAAATTTGTAGATTTTCACAAAAGGTTTGATTATTTTTAATAATTATGTGAACCAATATTTTAATCAAAGTTTGAAAATTTTATATTATTTAAAGAATTTATGAGCCTACTTGAGTATAAAGATTAATGTACATTATATTATTTTTGTAATTATTATTTTTAATAAATAGGATTGGAAATATAAAGAAATTAGATTCCATAAATAGGTAATGGTTTATGTACTATCAATTCTTATAAATCCCAATTTGGGCGAGAATATGCTGTTCTAGAAGATTTCAAACCTCAAATATTTAGACTCTAATTTTAATTCGAGTATTAATTTGTTTTATTATTCTGTTTTATTTATAATGATCAATTAAAACAGAATGTTTAAGATGCACGTTATTTTTTACAATTCATTTAGAGATTATTGTTATAATACTAACAAGAATATAATTCATAAAAAATGTGATTCAAAATTTCAAAAGTTTACCGTTCCATAAGCAATGAAGATGATAAATTGAAGTTGGCATTTGGTATTTTCTGAAAAAACAACAGATTTAAATATGCTATTCTAATTTTAAAATGAGACCCAATTATGAGAAATAAATTAATCAAATTAAAATTTGTATGTTTTCTGGACTTCCGTTTTATTGTTAGTTTAGAATTAAAAATATTAGTTTATAAATGACAATCATTCACTCGTTTAAGTAACATAACTACTCTTACTAAATAGAGTATATCTTTTGTAGGTTTTGGATTTTTTGGGTAATTATTTGTGAAAATGTATATAATTTTTTCATACATAGATGCCTAATGTATAGATAAATATATAAAGATATAATATAGATATAAAAAAAATATGTAAATACCATTTTTTTCTTGTGAGATTAAAAGTGTTATTATAATTTTTCATTAAAAATTATTGTGATAGTGTTTTATTTTCTGCCAAAAATCAAATTTTGTGTGAAACAAATTATTGGAAATAAAATGAATTAATTGTATTTCAGAAATGTATATCAATTCTATTTTTGATAAAGACTTAATAATATTTTAGAAAAAATGATTTTATATGTTGAAACTATATACGTATTTCTACATTTTTATGAGTCTTGGTTTATACCTTTTCTCAAAATATTTTTTCTAAGATTACCGACGTAATTACACAAAGATTAGTGTATTTGTAGCATTATAATTTCATATAGTTTAAAAGGGGATTAAAAAATGGTTTAGTACCCAAAAGAAATGTAGTACTATTAAATTTATCTTACAGAATATCAGACGGAGAGATAAACGAGAGGATACTATTATAATATTAAATTCGATTTCAATTGTTAGTTTTAGATATATGTACTATAGTATTAGTTGAAAGATTATAAAACACTGATATAAAGCAATAATATAGTTGAGAGACTATAAAATACTAAGAGAAAAATTGGAGAAGTAAATCGTACGAGTAATATTTTTTTTTATATAAAAATTGTTTTTGATATTTTAAAAATTAGGTGAAAATAGAAATAGAAATGGACGGTTAAGTAAAGTATTATTGTATTTGGAGCTAAGACGAGAATATGGAAATGTTAAGTGAATGGAGGAGACACACTCCTTAAACTACGGATTAGTTTAAGAGTTAAACCTCGTTTAACCCATCATGACACTTTTCACCATTTGATGATTTCTGTTTTGAATATTTATTTTATTTATTTAATAAAATAATTATTCTGCTTGGTCAATGCGAAGCGAAGCTACAGAAACCCACGAAAGTTGCATGGACCAATCAACCACCAGCCATCTCGTTATTGCATGAACAAAGAGTATTTTAATTATTACAATGTACGTACGCACACATATCGAGTCACGGTAATAAATAGTATATCTTGGTATAACGATTAAATTATGTGATGATTGATGCAACGATAAAGGTAAAACATACACATTTCGGATTTCGATTATATTTCGTTGTGTTGGTTTTTATTCAATTTTTTTGTTTTATAAGTTATCATATACATTCAATTTGTTACTCCGTTTTTAATTAGTTGTCGTTTGGGAAAATATTTTTCTGTTTTTTAACAGATATAGTTTTAGATTTTCTATGTGATTTTTTAAGAAAATTTCCAATTTTATCATTAATTATAACTTCTTAGATTATTAATGAGAATATGATTTAATGAGGGTATATGTAATTTTTTTATATTTTTTTAAAAAAATTGTGAAAAAATCTAAAATAATATCTATTGTGAAACAGAGGGATCAGTAATATTTTTTATTCAATTTAAATTTATATTGGATTATATATTATTTGATTGTAATTTTATTTTTGTGCCCAAACCAAAATGTATCTACCTCTAATGCTGTGGGATGAATAATTTACATTTTTATGATATGGTCAACGGTTATATACGTTTTGCATTCAGTACATCGATATTTTTTTGTACAAAAAAAACTAATATTGTGGTTACAAATTATATCAATGTTTATTTAAGAAAATGGAGCATCATAATGAGAAGAAATTCCTTGGAAATTTATCGGAAAAATCTCGCAATGATCCGTTGTCTAGGTGGTAATGGTGGTCGGAAATTCAACTTGCATAGTTTATTAAAAACAAATTATGAATTATTTGCTTCAAAAGTACGTAAATTCGTACTTTTAATTTGTTGACAATTAATAGATAACAATAGTCGGTTACAAAAAAGTAGTTACAACAATAGACATTTTCGTGTAATTTTTATTTTTAAAATGTAATTTCGTATTTTAATTAATTTTAGTCCGTGTAAGCACTAATCACAGGAAATACAACAGATTATACGAAGTAGTGAATCATGTATTACAAAAACGTTTATAATTCATTTCATCATGCAGCCATTGAATAAAATGTAATAGATTGTCTATTTGTACAACAATAATTACACTACAAGAAACATATTAAATTGCGACAGATTTTTCCGTCGCAATTATAAAAAAAAATCACAGAATGCGACGGAACAATTTCTGTCCGTAAAACGTTGTCGCAAATAATTATCGGTCGTTAATTCGTCGCTAAATTGTGACAACGAAATCTGCGTTTTACGACAGAAAAACTATAGAAAATTATGTGACAAATATTTTTTTAATTTTTTTAAAAAAATTTATATATTATATATAAATACACATACGCACATAAATATATATACATATATACATATATACAAATATATATATATACATACACATACATATTTCACATATAACAATTAAATACACATACACATACAAATTCGTATACATATTCTACACACAAATACACATACATATATATATATAAACACATATACATTCACATACATATATACATAAATATACATACACATACAAATATACACACATACATATTCACATTCACATACATACACAACATACAAATACATATAATTCATATATACACACATACATATTCACAAACATATAAACACATTCATACACATACATATTCACATTCACATACATAAATACATATATACACTACACATAATAACAACACATACACAAAATATACACACACACGAAAAATACATATACATACACACACACAAAATACACACACATATACATTTGGCCATAACTTTTTCGGGCCGGACTCGATTTGGCCCTAACTTTTTTCGGGCCGGGCCGACCCGCCCATTTATTTATCGGGTCTATATTATTAGGCTCAAACCCTTAATTTTTCGGACGGATTTCGGGCCGGGCTTCGGGTTTCGGGTTCTATTGACACCCCTATATACATACATATATATACATATTCACACTTATATATATATACATATATACACGATATATATATACACATATCTGGATAAATTTTGGAAGAAAAAAATAATTGGAGAAGATTTTCTCTCTCAAAATTTCGAAGTTTGAAAGAGGAAGACGAAGTCGCTATTTTTAAAATTTAATATAATGAATATATATAATTAAATAAAAACCACAATATAAATAGATTTAATGTTATGCAAATATATATTTTCTAATTTATATATATATATATATGAATTAGAAACAATTCGTATT